TACGATTACACCATTTATGACATCTCTGGTGATGTCAACGTGTGGGCGGATTTGTTGTCCCGATGGGGAACAAATTCCAATCTTATATGCCCCATCGTGCACGTGCCGTTGCAGATTTCGCCGTTGCGAAATGGCGAATTTATTTGGCCAACCATGGCCGAGATCGTGGATGCTCAAGTCCAAGCCGTTGGAAACGGAGAATTTCCTGTCGCCGACACCAGATGGAAGTGGGCGACAACGACGTGCCGGTGCTCAAGACCGCCACTGGAGCGGTGTGGATTCCGACGTCTGCCAGTGACCTGCAGATGCGGTTATGTGTGGTCGCGCATTTTGGTGTGGGGGGACACCGTGGGATCAACGCGACGAAGCAGATCCTAGTGGATCGATTTTGGTGGTCCGACATTGCCTCGGACGTGTCGTACTTTGTGGGCCGTTGTTTGCATTGTGCCAGTACGGGTGGTCATGTTTTGCGGCCGTTTGGTGCAACGGCGCATGCCACAAAGCCCAATGAAATCCTTCATTGGGATTTTCTCTGCATGGATGGTGGCTACATCCTTGTGGCCAAGGATGATTTTAGCCAGTTCAAGTGGTTGTGGGAATCCGACGTGGCGAACGCGGAAGTGGTGGCGCGTTCTTTGCTGCAGTGGTTCAGCGTTTTTGGCGTGTGTTATCACTGGGTGAGTGACCAGGGATCCCACTTCAAGAACGAGGTGATTGCCGAGCTCAAGCACGTGCTGGGGGCACATCATCATTTTACCACGGCCAGATGTCCGTGGGCGAACGGAACAGTTCGAAAGTGAGATGAAAACGACCCACGCCTGAAGGCGTTCCGTGCACTCCTGTCCGAGTGGTTGATGCAGCCAGATCAGTGGCGGCTGATTGTCCCAGTGGTGATGTTGGTCCTCAACCAAAGTCCGTCCGACACACTCGGTGGTGTGGCACCGATTACTGCCATGACGGGTATCCGAGCGATGTCGCCCTTGGATCGTATTCCAATTCCGGCGGCGACAAAAGTTACAACGTTACACGACTTGCTGTCGTGGCGAAATGATGACATGGCGGCGATGGCAACCGCCTTGGACAAGATGCATGCGACGGTGTTGGACGCTGCGACAAGAAGGCGTCAGAAAAACCGTGAAAGAAGATCGAAGAAAAAATGGTGCGGAAATGGCCGAGTTCGACGTGGGCGATTTTGTGCTTTATATGGACGTGTGGTCGATTTCGCACTCAAAGCTGAGTGTTACATGGCGTGGACCAGCTCAAGTGGTCAAGACAACATCGGACTGGATTTTTGAAATTCAAAATTTGGAGACGGGGGTGGTCCGTGAAGCCCACAGCAATCGTCTCAAGCTTTATGCCGACGACGCCTTGGATGTGACGGAAGAACTGCTGCGCCACATTGCGCACAACGCCGACGGCCGTGTGGTCGATCAGTTCCTCGACTGCCGCTACAATGATCGAATGGCCGCTTTTGAAGTGTGTGTGCGCTGGCGCGGCCTACAAGCAATTGAAGATTCGTGGGAGCCGGCGGCCAATTTGTTGGAAGACATTCCAACTGAGTTCAAGCGCTACGTGCGCTCAAACAAGGCCGATGCCCAAGTCAAGGCGATGGCAGCTGCGTTGGGCGTGACGCAATCGTTGGGGGGGATTGTTGCGAATTTGTCATTCGCAGAACCCCTGAACCCCTCCCAAGAAGGTATCCAAGTGTTTGATTAGGTTGGATATCCTGTGTGCGATCCTATTCGCAAGTTAGATTATTGGCTGTCCAGCAGCTGTCTAAATAGGTTAGGGTAAAACTCCAGTGACTTTTGCCACTGGGGGGAATTCACTTCGTGATTTGCCTTTGGATCGGACTTCGCAAGGTCCGTCAAGTTGAGACGCAACAGCCTGCGAGGATTTCTGGATCCAAGCCGCCCGTGCTGCATTTCCTTTTGTGTGGCACCCTCGACTCTCGGCAGGGCCAACGCAGTGCCAGTATGACGCTCTTGACCGCCGTGGCATGTGTTTGATTGTTTGTGGCCACCATGTTTGGCGTGTACCTCAGTGTTAAGCCAGTTCCAAGGCCCTTCCGACAGCACTTCCCTCGTTGGCTGTTTTCCAAGCAACGCCGAGCTAAGGCTACCGAGTATACTCATCCATTGCCGTCGTCATCATCGTCGCATTCGTCCACCATCGAAGACGACGACAATAATGTGTTTGGTGGTTTGCATCAACACCACTACCAAGCCTTCGATGTGACTCAGGTGCAGCCGATGCAAGTGATTGGATCTGGTGCCCACACTACCGTAGCCCTTGGGCTGTGCACGCGTCGACACTTGTTGGTGGCTATTAAAACCCTTCGACCTGGCTCCAGCGTTCGCATCTGTCAGTCCTTTGTGGCCGACCTTCACCTGCTCGCCAGGTATATATATAATATATATCCATATGCAAAATATACACAGTGTTTGCAATCATACTACATCACCGTTCATCGCATTTCATTGCTAACCATAGCTTTTGCTCGCCGTATAGCGTACAAATCCTGGGGACAAACTCGAGTGGACACAGCGCGTCCTATGTTATGGAGCACATGGGTGGTTGAGATCTCCAAACGCATTTGGCCTCGAGGACCAAATACGACGTGGAATGGGAAAACAAGCTTCACTGTCTGCAAAGCATCATCGGCGCTCTGGTGTACATACACTCGATGAACCACACCCACGGAAACCTGAATTCGCGGCATGTTCTCTTGGACTCGAATGCTAATGGCGGCGTCAAGATCACTGGCTTTCGGTCGCTACTTCGTCCCTTGCCTGCGTCGTCCGTTCGATGGACGGCCCCCGAAGTGCTTGTGCAGAGTTCTGCTCCTTCCCCGGCGTCGTCTCTTTAGGTGGGCTACATCACTATTGCCTCCTCCTTGTTGGGAATTGAACTGTGAATTTGAGTTTGGTACTTACATTATGTTGTACAATTTTTCCTTGGATTTTTAAGTGTGTTAATATCTGAGGTTGTCATGCACGAGTAGCCGTACGTCACCCTGCGCAACGAATGGACTGGTAAAGCGCTATCGAGCAGAGACGTCGCCGCACTGGTCACATCTAATGCCGTTTCGCTGTCGTCGGATCGTGCCCACTTGGCTAGCGGACATCGGTCGTCGACGCATAGCGAGGCACCCCATTGATCAACCGACGATCGAGGAAGTTGCCATTATCCTACGAAGCTTCAGAATATCCAGCTAAAACTATGCCTATGTACTGTACATCTATTTGGCTCCAGTGCGTAATGGCGTCCGAGAAGTATAGCCGGTGGAGACATATTATATCCCATGGTAGCTAGCGTTAGTTGGAAATGCTGGGCGAAGTGAATGTCGACGGTCAACTCCGTTCAATGAGGCATGGTGTAGCATCAATTCTCTGTACTACCGGTAAATTGTTACTAGTACCGGTACGTATTAACTGTAAATACAGTAGTATTTGTGGCCTTGCTTGCCATGGTTACCTCAGTCAGAACACCGTGTTGCAGCATTCTGCTTTGCTGTGTACAATTTTTTTTTGTTTAGAACAGGAGGCTGCGGGAAATCGCGAAAATCAATTTGTGAATTCCTTCTCGGCCTTTTGGCTAAGATCAAGCGTAGCTTCTGTCCAGACGGTTTTGCCGATCCTTGACCAGTGATACCAAATCTGAAGTGTTGCTACGTTTGATCTTGACCCTCAGGCCGGGAGGATACACATATCTGGATAGAATAATAATCTTTTTAATTGCTGTCAACTTGGATGCTTGTTGACTAATTTGGGTTCTTTTAGGTACGGATAGACTGTTACAAACATTTTTTTACAACTTAAAAGCCCAATTTATGAACACTTTTTCCGAGACGCTGCCGTGGAAGGAATGTAACTCGACTCACAGGTGTCCGATTATAATTCTACAATATGTTACATGAAGCCAAAATCCAGACCTATTCGGGAGTTATGAATGCGATATGATTCCTGTTATAATTAATTATCATTCACACCCCTTTGCCCACAAACAGCTTAAAACAAGCGGTCCAATTTAAGGCCATCATAAGCTTAGTCTTTGTATATCCATTTGCATATTTTTGGGCGGTTAGGTTAAAAACTGCCTCTGTAGAAATTGATTGGCTAATTCGCGTGCACCTTCAATTGGATCGAGCACCTTAAACTGGACTTTTACGTTATATTACGTTCGTGTTGTTCGATTGTTTCCCATCAAAAGTCCTGTGAAATTTTTTGCAATTTTCTGATGGTAAGTACTCAAAATTCATCAGTAAATTCTGTGTAATATCTTCGAAGTAGTAGAGTACGAGGGTGGTGGTATGTACTACTACCTACCGGTAGTACTTACTATTAATACCTCTGTCCAAGGATGATTGCGACTGAATATTCGGCAGCACTTTCTAACTTGCTTTCAGTATACGATGTAGACTTTTGCATCTGAAGCGTAGTACAAGTAGTACAAGTTAGTGGGATATCATATGACGCGAGAATATTTTGCAGATGATCATCAGTGATATTTTCAACTCGTGCCATTGTCTTCACACACTTAAGGTGTGTGAAGACAATGGCATTCACACACTTAAGGTGTGTGAATGTGAAGACAATGGGGTGGTTTCAAAATCACAAACTCCTTGAGTCAAGTCAAGTGATACTCGTACAGTCACTGTGTCGAACCATCTGGCCTCAACGACACACGACTCCGACTGCTTTGTTCGGGAAAACCGTAATGGTAGTCGGCTGCGACCTGCCTATAGGCCCAGTGCCAAGGGTTCGACATCAGCCGTTAAGGGACAACGAATTCAAGATCACTTGAGCATTCATGACGATCGAGTGATGTTGAATCTATTCCCGCTTCACTCGTGCGATACTATTGTCGTGGTCCGTGTGCGTTATCGCCCTTTGCAAAGCCAACACAAGTCATTGTTGTGGTCGGTGGCTGTCAGCCATGCCCCGCCATGACACACAGGGACCGTCGATGGGGTCCCTTGGCGCCAATCCTGTGAACCGACGCGCGTTAGATACACTCTAGTAGTACTAGTAGTAGTATTAGGAGCTAGTTGAAGTTTCGGTTGGGAATGTCACCATGGTTAGCCAATCAGTGGCCACCTGGGACCACCTACCACTTCTACAGAAGCTCACTCATAGTTTTGCTCTGCAACGGACATAACAATCAAGTGCGTGGTTCACGGGAGGAGGCGCTCCCCCATTTGGCTTTTTGTGTTGGTGCAGTGCAGGAAACAACACAAAGCTACAACTGCGGGACTAAGAGCAATGACGCGAAGCCGAAGCATGTCCCCGAAAGACAAGCGAACGGCGCCCAAAGCAGACGCTCAGAACGTTTGAAGCCGACCGCGGTGGCCGAACAGGAAGGGGCAGAAACCGAAGAAGAAGCACCGACAGCGGAGCTGGCGATGGTCCCAACCAGTGGACCTCGACCATGCAGCCGGTCGAAGATGAAGCCAAGGAAGAACACCAATCACCCAACAAGGCAAGCGACTGATCAGCGCCACATTCGATGCCCAAGTCATTAGAAGGCGACTATATTGAGTTGGACAACTACGATGATGAGAAACCCGATCTGGTTTGACATCAAAAGCGGCAGCAAGCGTCGAGAGAAGAGCGAAAACGGGCCAAGGCGGCGAAACCGTATCGACCCAACGGCACGCCCGATAGTTCCTACGACGACGAAAGCGAAGACGAACGTCGGAAGGCCAATGCGGAGCGATGTCGACGGAATCGCGAAGCGAAACCAAAGTACAAGAAAGTCGATTACGTGGCCCAAGCCAAGACGGAACATGCGCGTCAACTTACAGCTGCTTTTGACTCACCTGTGTGGCAGCCAACGGCGCAGCAATGGACAACGCAACCTGGGAACTCAGGATGGACTCCAGTGAGTGGTCCACATCAGGGTGGACCTTCACTGGTGCACAAGGACATCGAGTACCCCCCCATCACGACTGTTGACCGTGACTCTCTGGTGGCCTAGAAACGCAAACGTGACCGGTATGAAGAGAAGCTGAAGGCTAACGCCCAGTGAATGCGACATGATTGGCGCGCTACAGCTGTCCCATGGCTTGAATCAGCTGATCGCAGTATGGTTGAAGCTGCTTGCCTGTACCTGTGGGACTTCAGCATCGATGGTCTGGATGAAAGCGAGTTCCACGAGCGCATATGCAAGATCGTTGGAGAACCCGCGAACAAGTGGACCGTCACAAAGGCCGAAATGGAGGAACAATGCAAGAAATTGCGTGTGGACCCCTTTGGCGACGTGGCAAGCCGCGTGGTCTCCTTTATGGAGAGAGTGAACAACATCATCGAAACGAGGGGATGGAAGTCACAGCTCAAGGCCCCGAACATGCTCAAGACCTTCATCAAGGCGGTGGCATCATGCATCACACCATTCGACGTGCGCGATCGAGTCGAGGAACAGATGAAGACAGTCCAAGTCAGTACTCTGGTGGAAATCTCCAAGATCCTGGCGGAGCAATTGGAAAGAACGTACCAGGCGGAGCTAGTAATGAAATCACGGGGTGGCGAACGAAAGCGAGGGCGCGACTGGGATGAGAAGGGACAGCGAACTGGCAAGACCAGAGTCCAACTCAAGAACGAACAGTACCAACGTGAAGCGTACTATCAGTATGGCAACGCCCCACGCCCGAAAGGCGGTTATACCCAAGTGGAACGTGGACGTGACGGACCTCCTCGTGCTGAGGGAGCGACTGGAAGGCCGTAGACGAACAAGTATGGGGCCCGGGCGGCAACGCGGTGCCCGTTAGAAGATAGTAAACAACCTGCCAAGCGAGCCAAGTATGGCCCCGGCCAAGACGACCGTGGCGCGCTAGCTTTGTCTGCCAATAACCGGGACACCGTGCGCGCGAATGCCCAAACAAGAAGGAAGACTCAGCGTGAGCTGATCACCTTCGGAAGGGCAAGAATGCGGTGAAGCGTTCAAGTACAAGCAACGCAAGGCGGAATTGAAGGCGAAGCGAGCGGTCAAAGCCATGATAGCCGAAGATGGTCGCGAACAGCGATGGATTCGACTCAACGGAGTATTCGAAGTGCCCTACTGTCCCGATACTGGCGCCGACCAGAACATTCTACCCCAGCAGATTCTGGAAGAGATGATGACGTTACAGCCTGACCTTATGATGGTGACGCTCAAGGAGCCGATGATCGGGATGGAATGCAACAACTTGCCCTTCCAAGCGAACGCTTACGTGGGCTTGGACATACAGCTGCAAACGGCAGCGGGCCCCGTAAAGATCCCTGGCAAGCGGCGATGCTATGTGGTGGCGGAAGGCGATGAATTCCTAGCTTCCGACGACACCCTCAAGGCGATTGGCATCGACATCGATCGGCTGTTGGAACAGGTGGCGACTCTACAGCTAGAGGATGATGGAGATGACCTGGAGGAAGATGGTGACGCTCTAAAGGAGCAGTCCCATCGTATCAAGGCAAACAGGCCAAGCTGCCCGAAGCCAAGGACGAAGTGGAAGCGGCCCTCCAAGACCTGATCAACGAGGCCATCGATAAGCAATTTCCAATCGAGAATGTTAAAGGTTTGTGGCGTGTCCTTACAAAACATGACATATGGTGACTCAAGTTCGATGGGTCTGACCCCCCAGCAAGGGTGAAACCATTGAAGGTGACCCCTAAGGATGGATGTGTTCCGTACCGATGTAAAGGTCGGAAGCACAACCTCCTTGAAGAGAGGTTCCTCAATCCGTTTGCAAAAGAACTTTGCGACGCAGGTGTCATCAAGCGAAACCAGCAAAGCGCATGATGCAGTCCGGTGAACCCCGTCCTTAAGCCCGACGGCCGCAAGACACTGAAGTCAGCAGGACAGGGACAGACGACGACGTGTTAAAGAATTACCGGTTGACGAACGACTACCGGGTGGTCAAATTTGATGACCAAGACCAAGGCCGGTACCATGCCGTTCCAAGCAACCATCCTCCAGAACCTGCGGGAGATGAAAGCTATGGGGGTTTGACCTGCCCAAATGCTTCTGGCAGTTCCCGCTGCACGAGGACAGTTGGGACATGCTGTCGTTCATGCTCAATGGCTGCGTGTATACCCCCGACAGGGTGATGCAGGGTCATGTGGACAGCGCGCTCTATGTGCAGTCCACGAACGAAGAGTGTTATCAAGGCATGCTGTTTAAGAACATGCTGATCTGGATTGATGACATCTTTGCATACACCGAGAACGTCGAGGCGTATGTGGTGGCCCTCGAGAATTTCTTCGATCGAGTGGCGCACTTTGGGTTCAAGCTGAGCCCGTCCAAAACCAAGCTGTACACACACGAGGTCAAGTGGTGCGGGCGCATTATCAGTGGCAAAGGCGTGAAGCAGGACCCGGAACGGATCCAGCACTTGTGTGCCATCCCCTACCCTACGAACGCGGGCGACTTGCAACAATTTGTGTGTGTAGTCAACTGGTTGCGGGACTCCATGACCGAGTATACACAGACAGTGGACCCATTCCAACAGTGCTTGACAAAGGCCCTCGAGGGTAAGGGCAAGAAGAAACGCATCGCGTCTGGTGTTCACTTGGAACCGACGGCGAAAAGAAAGCTTTCGATGCAGTTAAGTCCAAGTTACGGGCGTCGGTTGAACTATATCACCCTCGTGATGATGCAACGATGTGCCTGTTTACGGACTCCAGTGACTATGGATGGTCAATTGTGGTTACGCAAGTGGTGGAATTTAACGAAGCGACAGCGATCCAAGAACAACACCATGAGCTACTCCTATGCCAGTCGGGAATGTTTGCGGGCGCACAGAAGTCGTGGTCAGTAAGCGAAAAAGAAGCATACCCGATTGCACGAGCGTGCGAGAAGCTCAACTACCTGCTGATGCGACCTACTGGATTTCGCATGTACTGCGACCACAAGAACCTGATCCATGTGTTTGCCCCCGGCGAAGAGTGGAAAGCACACACCTACGGGGAACTCATATGGTGGGCTGCTGTTATTGGCGGCTACCGCTATGACATTATCCACATCGACGGTGTCCATAACCTATGGGCGGACATGATGAGTCGATGGGGCCAACCGACTCCAAGTCTGGTGGCGAAACGTGTACTCGTCCGGCGCGGTCACAAGTGGACGAAGAAACGGCGCCCGGCAAACTCAATGCGCTCCTGAAACATCGTGAAGCCAAAGCGACGCGAGGCAAGTACGCAGTCTACGAAGACGCGTGCACGGGCAGCGCTTCTTGACGAGTCGGAAAGTCGCCTCATCTCAAGAGAAGGAAGCCCCCGCCAATGTCGAAGACAATGACTCGACCATAACAAAAGCTGCGCCCTTTGGAAGACGACTTTGTGTGGCCCAGTGTAGACGACATCCGCCAGGCGCAAGAGAACATGCGAGTGAACAACCGCTCAGGACGACGAATGATGGCGAGTTATGGAACGTGGATGACTGACTGCCTATGGATACCAAGTGCGGCGGACGACCTGATCCAACGGATCATGGTAGTCGCCCATTGTGGCAGCATGGGACACTGTGGCCACGCGGCACTGGTGGCCTCAATCAAGCGCCTATGCCTATTCTACCTCGACCACCTCGCCGACCGAGCGGCGGAATTCCTCCGCGGATGCTTTCTGTGCCCTCATATGAAAGGGGGAAGGGTGGTCCACAGACCGTATGCACCCAGATGGCACGCAAAGGAACGCAACGAAGGAATTCATTTCGACTACCTATACATGGGCGAGGCGTACAGTGGCGCCAAGTACGTCTGGTGTTGAAGGACGACCTTACATACTACTGCGAGCTGGTGGTCTGTGATGGCCCCAGCGTGGATGCACTGGTAGACTGGACGAAGCGATTTGGTATGCCACGAGTCTGGGTCAGTGACCAAGGCACCCACTTCAAGAACGTGGCGATGAAGGCGTTGGCACACAGGTTTAAGGTGTACCACGACCTCACACTGGCCTATTGTCAATGGCGGAACGGCACAGTGGAACGTATGAATCGCGACATTCTCCAAGTCATACGCGTGATGCTACGGGACTACCAGTTGGACGAGAAGGAATGGGACTACCTTCTACCGGTGGTGCAGTCCAATCTCAACCAGATCCCGGCAGTGTCATTAGGCAACAAGTCTCCCATGGAGCTCTTCGCGGCCCTCAACCCAGCGACCCCTTTGGACGTCGTTGGGGTGGGCGTGAACAAGGATCTCTGTGAAGTCAAGTGGCAACACAAGGACATCCAAAAGAACCTCGACGAACTACAAACAAGATTGCATGCGATGCACAAAGAAGTGCTGAATCGCAACGAGCTACGGACAACCAAGGCGGCGAAAACCACAGAAGACTTCGAAGCCTGCAACGTGACCGAAGGTGACTACGTGTTATGGTCAAGGGTGGATGAGCGCTACCATCCCAAGCTACTCGTCACCTGGGTCGGTCCGTACCGCGTCAAGTCAGTGGGCGAATTCTCCGTGATGTTAGAACATGACACATGAAGAACGCGAAGCTCATACGTCACGCGTGAAGATATATGCGGATGCGAGTTTTGAAGTCACAGAAGAAATCCGAGCAAGGCATTGTATTGAAGGACAAATTCATCGCGGGGCACAAGTTTGTCCCGGATGTGAGCGACTTCATGTTGGAAGTGTTTTGGGAAGGCTTTGTAGCAGCCCAACCATCGCCCAGCAATTGCTGTGGGCCAGGTTCAGACTATGATAGGCTCATGTCCATCGTTCTGAACACGGCGCACAGCAAACTCGCTGGATGCTGACGATTTGGAGGCGGGGCCAGAAATTTCGACGTTGAGCGTGCGAACGGTGATTCAAGCTTGCTACTGGGTTTACTTTTGCTGCGGAACACGATACGGGTATAACGACATGAGTTCTGTGGCCATTACCGACGCCAATAGCACTAACTACACCGCGCATTAGACCAGTTTACTCCGTGACGCGGTGCCAACTACAGTCATTTCACGGCATTGCCGTCTCAATTGCCAAGATATGTTTTCAACTTGGATTTTGTATTGAATTTTGACATGGCCGTCACGGAGTTATATAATTCACCTGCTAATTCGACGAGAGTGCTCAGATTATGCACTTTCACCTCCACTACTGTAATTTGCATGGCCAATCGAGATGAGAAGGATGGGTTTTTCATGTCAGTCGCAATCAACCTTGGGCACAGTTAACAGTGATCGAAGGCATCCAGAATATCAGGATTAGGGTTATTTCAAAATATTATATTTGAGAGTACTCATATAAGCTTTCCTGTGTAAACGTCAAAATTAATAATATTAAAAGATATAGGTTATTATTTGTAAATGTACTCCCTCTGTTCCCAAATAAGTGCGCGAGTTTGAGGAGGGGGGACATGACCCGTCATTATATTCAGAAGTTTGCTTGACGTCATGATTGAAGTGGGAATTGAGCCAATTTGTGTAGAAGATGACGAGTAAACACGAAACGAAGTGTGTTGGTATTGTTGATGGTCCTTGTGCTCGTTAGGAGGGTTCCTGGCGTAAATCCCCCTCCTGCAGTGTCAGAATTACCAAAAGTCGTCATTTGATTGGTCCTGAGACACGGATTTGGCATCCTCTGATTGGCCCAGTGTATCGTTACACCTGTATAAATGCATATTGAAGTATTTAAGGTTGAAGTGTTTTGTATTTTTATTGGAGGAGGCATAGATCAACTTCCTGATTCGCGCACTTATTTTGGAACAGAGGGAGTAATATTTGCCTCATTTCCGTCATGTTTTGTGACATATCTCACAAGATATTCATTTCTACACCTGACATCCAAAGAACGTTTTTTATATGGCGTTTAGTTATGAGCACACAAGAAGTTACACCAAAAAAGGCCATCTGGACCTTGAGAAATGCATAAATATTCCCTCGATGCCTCCGACCACTGTAAGTAAATACAGTGAACGAGGGAATTTAAGCGACAGCGAAGTTCGTCTGAATATTGCTATACTTACTGTTTACCAATCAGAATCATGGCTTTCTAAACGGTTGGTTTGATTTGCCAAAATAAACAAAGTTGACTAATCAGACTTCAAGATCTCGATTCTACTTCTATTCAAAGTGTGGCTTAAATTCCCTTGTTGACAATTAGTATATATTTGAAGAAGTATGAAAGAAGATAAGTGTTTGTAAGGCTTCACATGGGAGGAGTGCTGGGCCCTCGGAAACGTGTCACGAAGTTGGTGTCAAGTCGCCTAAACCTCAGGAATCTCTAAATATATATGTGAAAAAACACATACCAGCAGATGATCGCCATCTTCTTGTCTTGATCGATGAGTTGGAGGTCGGGCTTGAGCGTAGGCCATCGTAGCCATGGAAGGTTGCGTTGACGAGCAGAGTGGCCTTGGGCAAAGTGACTTGGATGGTGCGCGAGATGGCGCCGAGGGCTGCGTCGTGGCATTCGTTGTGCGGGCAGCGTTGGAGGACATGGGCGAGGATCTTGGGGGCGACTTGGCCACAGTGGCGGCAGGAGCCGTTGGATCGGAGCCGCTTGCGCTTCAAAACCTATCGCGTGTCGACTTGGTTGAGGCGGGCCGCGGTGCCAAGACGGTAGTCGGCGTCCCACAACTTGCCGCCGGAAAAGAGGAACTCGCTGCCGTCGCGGCCGCATAGCATGGTGGTGCGGCCTTGGTCCATTTGCTTGCTCCACGCCAACGCATGGTCAAGCTTGATGTGCATCTTCATTTCGCGCGCGATGTTTTAGCAGGATGATGGCACGGAGTTGGGCGTGGCATAGGCGTGGGATGGTGTTATCGGGGGAGTTTAACATGTGGAATGCAAGGGTGAGGGTCGAGACTTGGCGTGACTCGTCGAGCGGAAGGAAGCCAAAGCCACTCCTGGATGGCGGGAGTAGATGAACGCCTTTGTGCTAGTGGTAGCGAGACGCAAAAGATGTCGAAGGGACTTGGCTAAAAACAACGAGAAACCTTGGAGCTGCGACTTCGTCGCCTTGACTTGGTGGATGGCGAACTCGAGTTGGGACATCACAAACATCTTGATGGCCTTGATGATTTGCCACGTCACTAAAGGGGACTTCACCAATGCATGACTTGCTGCCACATGCTCGTCAACTTGTCCGCCAGTTGGAAGCGGGTGTCAACGTGGTGAAAGCCTTTCGCGGATATCCAAGAGCTCGGTCACGCTGACCTTCCACGCCGCGGGGACACGCTTGTTCGACCAACACTTGTTGTAGTTCGCGTGGAGCAAGGGCAAAAGGGCCAAGCGGAAGCGGTAGTACACGCCGTACGGAAGTCCTCCAGGCATGGGGCGGAGGTCAAGTTAGCCGCGTTGAGGGCGTCTTCGACTTCGTCCATGGTGATGGAATCGACGAACACTTGGCAGTTGAAATCGGCTGGAGGAAGAGCATGCAAGAGGCGAAGGAACTTGTCACCACTTGGTCGCTGGGGGTCGAAGGCCACTGGCGGGGGGTTGGTTACCGCTAAGTGCTTGACGAAGGCGTTGATTGGGATGGCAAGTTGGAGGGTGGTGACGAGTGGGATAAGCGCAAAGGGCCATGTCCATCACTTCCACAACGGTGGCGGCAGCAATGTGGGTAAACAAGCCTGTTGGTGTGTGGTATGGGGTGCGCCGGTCCACAAGGGGTGGCTCGATGGCAGCAATGATGGAGTCCAGGAGGGCCGCGGCAGCCAAGGAGATTTGCACCGGGGTCTCCACCGGTTCGGGCAGCACTTCGCCACGTTGAGAAGGGGTCGTAGTGGTGGGGGGAGCTGCTGCTACAATCACTGGGGGCAAGGCCACTTGCAACTGTTGTTCAAGAACAACTTCGTTGGGCGGAGGTGTCGTTCCCAGAGACGTGCTCAACATTGCGACATCACCCCAAGGCCACTCTGGGCGGAGGAGTCAAAACCGTGGCCGAGCTCGACGGTTGACTGCCACTCGACGCACCAAGCAGGCACGCTCTGGCAAGTGCACGACCAACGGCACGCTACGGCGCGTTGGTGTCAGAGCGAGACACAAGTACACCATTGGCAAAGGACACCAGCGCTGGGACGGATCGTGGAAGTGCAGAACACATCAAGGCGGGGCACCAAGGGACGCAAGCGATTGCTGGGTGCACGCAATGGCACTCGTAAGAGGTCTCCTTGAGGTCCATGGCCGCGTTGGCCACCGTGTTCTCGTTGCGCGGGATGTGGTGCAAGGACGTGAAGGTGCCCTTGTGGCGGAGGTGGGCCAACGCCTTGAGGACTCGGTTGCGCAGCGAGCGCAAGAGCGGAAGGGACACGCGAGCATTGCCAGACACTTGCGACAGGACAAGTTGGCTGTCGCACTCGATGCGAAGCGTTGGGAGGCGCCAATGGAGGACACCTTGGAGGCCATTGAGCAGGGCTTGGTACTCGGCGACGTTGTTGGTTGCGCCAGAAGGGAGCCAATGCTAGAGAGTCCACATCACAGTGCCGTCGGGTGCAGAGAGCGCCGATCCAGCGCCGCCAGGGTTGGATGCTTGGGCCGTGGCGCCGTTGACGCGACAGCCGCCATCAGTGCGAAGCACAAAGGTTACTGGGGCCGGGGCAGCAACAGGAATCTCAGGGGCAATGGCAATGTCCAAAGGAAGTGTTGGTGGTACTCGAGGAGGGCCAAATCGGGGGTGCTTGGCCGCGATGGAGCCGCCCGAAGTGCAAGCACGTTGGGCCGGCGAGCGTTTGGATGGGAAGCAGCGCGAGCACGTGGGACATGAGAGTAATTGGCGCGCCGGGGAATCCGTGGGCACGGCATGGCCAACCGCAAGGGTAGGCACACAAGGTTGGGGTGGGATACCAGCCCCCGAGGCTGCAAAACGCGAAGCCAGCGGGGGTGCCACCGCAAGTGTAGTATTGTTCTGGTTTGTGCACTCTTCATCGGCCGCCACTTCCGCCAGGGCTGCAGTCAGCGCTGGGACAGCGGGGAATGCCGCGCGGACAGCATGGGGGACAAAGGGCCGGAGGGGTGAAGGGGTCGGCGCGGCCGTTGGAGCGCAAGCGTTTGAATGGCAAAGGGCGAGCAAGCGCGTCGTGAAGGACTCGTCACAGCCACAGCTTAGACGGTATGCGTCGGCGAAGTCAGTGCCAGCATGCGTAGTGGTGCGGTGGCGGCGGAGGGAAGCAAACGCCGAAAACGACAGGTCAAGGCACAGCGCGCACTGGAAAGTCTTGGCGTCATGGTCATGCACCGTGGTCACGAGGTTGGGCTCGCACACCGAAAGGGCCGAGAAGCAGGTGCCGGTGGACGCCAGCACCGAGAACCGCCAAGGGGGATGCCGCAAGCCAAGCGGCATTGCAGGCTGCACACGCGCAGCTTGGAGATCCGACGAGAGCAGTTGGAACGGGCGCACCATTGTTGGTGGCGCAGCAGGCGTGGTGGCGTCGATGACAGCGGTCGTTGGCGCGGCAACGTGCGCAGCCAATGGCGAGGGACAGGCACGCGCAGGCGAAGAGCAAGATACATGGGACACATCAGTGGATGATGTGTGAGGATCGGACATGGTGGGCGACGGCGATAGGCCAAACCAGCTTGGCAAGGACAAGGCAGAGCCTCTGAAAATGTTAGTAGTTAAAGGGACCTGAGTCCGTTTAACTACTATAGAATAGGGAGGAGGAGTGTGTTGACGACGCACAAGTACCAGCCTCGTGTACCGGGACCGAAGCACATTGCGACATCAGCGAGTCGAGTAACTCTGATCCTTTCCCGCTGGCATTGTGACACCCGGAGTTGCACTGCCGTTCACGCAGTCGACCTTTCTCATGGAAAGCGCTACTAGGACAGCGGCCGCAGAGCTCCGTTATGGCGGCGACAACTTTGTCAGGCGAGGGAGACAAGTCACCCTCGAGTTCCGCCTGAATCCGTGAGGAAACAGTCGATTTTACACTCCTCCCCATTTCTGGTAAACCCGGTTGGGTTTTCAAAACATTTTTCGAGGGCTCCGCCGTAGTCCGAGCTGTTGAGGTTTCGGCTACTGATGCGTCGGAAAAAAAATGCGAGGGCTCCGCCGGAATTGCACCAAATGCGTTGGGAATCCGGGAAAATCGCGCGACTGCGTGTTCGTTGTCTTCAATGGCGGCCGGAAGGCTAGCCATTGATTTGGGCATAGCCTCCGGCCACCCGTCGGTCTCATTGTTTGGGGCCACTGGTAGGGGGGGGGGGCCTCCGGATACGCTATCCGGTTGACGGGGTTCCCCTCGGCTCCGCTGTCTTGGGGTCTTCGGTGGTAGGCGGCAGATTGGAAAGGACTGGCTGGGAGAAGCCAGGCGAAAAGAAGCTGAAACGGCCAATCAAAATGTACCAAATCGGAACAGATACTACACTTGATCTTAGCCAAAAGGCCGAGAAGGTATTTCTTGGAAAATGCCGAGAAGGTATTTCTTGATTGTTGTTTAAATCCTACAAGCGAACACAAAATCATGTGGAATTTTGTGCATTTCTCTGAGGTTTGAAAATGCGCATAATCAGCGTGAGTATTAAGTACAGTAGGGGGAGTGTTATGGTATAGTAAAAACAGTGATAGAAATTATTTGAGTGAAGTGTGAATGAATGAAGGAAGATGAAGTGTTAGGCTTCACAAGGGAGGAGTGCTGGGCCCTCGGAAACCTGTCCCGAGGTCAGTGGCAAGCCGCCTGAACCCCAGGAATCTATAAAAATGAATGTGAAAAAAAAACCATATTAAATATGGTAATCAGTTTTCACACTGATTAGAACAGAGGAAGGGTTATTACTTGACTTAGAGCCATTCTGGTAAACTAGCTAAATGGTTTCGGAGATGAAACTAGTTCTAACTTGGCTATTCCTAATGTCAAGACTTGAAAGCGCGCCCAACGAGGGAAATGCTTTTTCGGCCGTAAGGCCCGGGGGACTTGTGTGTCTATGCCATGCGGCTGTCGGCGCGTGCCGATCGACTGTCCGGCTTGGGCCCGCTGCAATGGGTGTTCCAAATGGTGCGGCTGGACTTGATGATGTCGGCGGAGAGACCGTACTGGAGCTTGGAGGCGGCTGGACGCGAGAGGCCAATGACTGCGGTGAGGATGTTGTGGTTGGCGGGGGCGACGGAGCCGAGGGAGCCGTAAACGAGCGCGCAAGAGTAAACTTCAAAGCCTTGGCGCACGAGGTGGCGGCTGAGGGGGGAGTACTTGTCCATCTTGCCCTTGGCGGTCTTCTCGAACACCGTGTCGCCGTCGTGGAGTTGGTCGTCTTCATGGGCTATGGCCAAGTCGCAGATGATTGCCGTCTTCTTGTCTTGATCGATGAGTTGGAGGCCCGGCTTGAGCGTTGAGCCGTCGTAGCATGTGAGGCACGCTTTGACGAGTAAGGTGGCCTTGGGTAAAGCGGCTTGGATGGTGCGTGAGATGGCACCAAGGGCTGTGTCGTGGCGTGCGCGGATGCTGACTTTGTTGTGCGGGCAGCGTTGGAGGACATGGGCGAGGGTCTCGGGGGCGACTTGGCCACAGTGGCGGCAGGCGCCGTTGGATCGGAGCCGCTTGCGCTTTAACACCGATCGCGTGTCGACTTGGTTGAGGCGCGCCGCGATGCCAAAGCGATAGTCGGCGTCCCACAACTTGCCGCCGGAAAGGAGGAACTTGCTGCCGTCGCGGCCATGGAGCATGGTGGTGCGGCCTTGGTCTGTTTGCTTGCTCCACGCCAACGCGTGGCCAAGCTTGATGTGCATCTTCATTTCGCGGGCGATGTTCTTGGTCGTGGCGGACTTGGCCATGTGGGGGAACTTGATGTCGAAGTGGTCGTCGCCGCGCGTTTGGAGGCGGAGGTTGTACTGGCGGAGAGTGGCGACGACGTCGGTCCAAACGCTCGAGATGTCGGCGTGTTGGGTCTTGAGGGACGCGATGGGTTGTTCTTGAAGGGTGCCGTTGAGGAAGCGTTGGAGCATGAGGTCGCCACCGGCATCGAGGGCGGCGGCGTCCACGTGGAAGCGAAGCAGGATGATGGCGCGGAGTTGGGCGCGGCAAAGGCGTTGGATGGCGTCGTCGGGGGAGTTCAACATTTGGAAGGCATGGGCAAGGGTCGACGCTTGGCGCGACTCGTCGAGCGGAAGGAAGCCAAGACCGCCGCTGGACGGCGGGGAGTAAAAGAACTCCTTGGGGTATACCAAACTTGATCTTAGCCAAAAAGGCCGAGAAGGTATGATTTTAATTGAAGCGCTATAGCAGTGTGCTTTATTTGTGTGTTGAGTTGTTCAAGGTAGGTCCGATTGAATATATCTTAAGTTCGAATCCTGTTGGAATGTATTTGTAGTGTAAATTTATAGTAGTTTGTACTATATTCAAGAGGTCCTGTTGAATAGCATGGGGAAGTTGGAATGGACTCTCCCTTAGGACGTGTTCGGAGCGACTTTTGTCGTCAGCGGTTTTTGGCTTTTTCCACAAGCCGCTGAAATATCAGCGACTTTTTGCCTTCACTGACATTGGTTAATAACAGAGAAAAATCAACCAATGATGCGCCCTAAAATTCATTGTCCATTTTCAGCTCTATGACAGCGGAGCGCAGAAAATTGTTGTCGCGTAGTGGCTGTGGTGGGCAAATGTTCAGGCGGCGAGTGGCGAAACGACGTAGAGTAGATATAGCGATGAGAACTATGTATCTACGCAAGTGAGTCGTAAGTCGGCGGCTTGGAAATATAGACTGCCACGCTAATGGCGCACCGGTAAAGGTCAAACCGAACGACAATGCTATGTGTTTCAACCTTGTGCGTCGGTGTGACCTTCTCCTTCCCGAAGGAGTCGTGCAGTCATCACTACTAACTCTAGGCATGCCCAACCCATAAGATCAACGCCTAGCTAACCTGAAATCAGTTTACAATACACAGAGCCTAGGGTTCAGTACAAGTAGGAGGTCGCGCGGGAGGGGCATGTGTACAGCGTTCGATGCGTTGTGCGTGCAGCTACCCTCGACATGGAAATGACTTACCATAGCCGTGCTTCACATGGGTAAAGTTCTCCCGTCGAGGACCTACCAGTACACACCGGAGTGGAGTGACGAACCACCGGCAACCGACAAGGGCGTGCTTTGGGCGTGCTCCTGCGAAATTTTGGTTTGCAACCAACAATTTATTCTGATATTTTTGCCCAATAAATAGCCACAATCCCAAAAGTCGATGGAAACGATTCTGATTGGCTACTTTTCCAAAAACCGCTGACACAAAAGTCGATCCGAACACGCCCTTAGCCGGTCAAACAACTTTTGCGCAAGCCATGGCCGCATTTGTGTTTTTTTTCGGGGAGTTGTAGTCAATGCGCGTGTGACGGCGGCCAAGTCTGTCCTGGGTTTGCAGTGCACAAGGCGGCGGTGAAGTTGTTGCCAGCCCCGACGCGGTTACCAACCTCGTTGTCATCGGCTACCCATGAGACGGAATTGGCCTAGGAACGAATCCCAGACTAACTGGGTAACACGTCCCAATGCTGCTCTGACGAAGTATGGTGCCATAGCCCGGCTCAATCAATGTTCATACTAGTTTATTCAAAATCCCCATTTTCATGTTGCACCAAAGGCACGTAGCGGGACATGATTGTTTGCAAGTCGTGCTTGAGTTTCGAATCCCGTCGACGTAACAGCACGGTCGTTGCCGTCAAGCTAAGCAGCATCCCTGCGTCCAGTCCACCAATGAAGAATGCTTCCAACCTATGCTTAACGAGAAGCTACTTTCGTGGGTCGACGACTTCCTGCCTATGCTGACGATGCTGAAGAGTGCCTGCGAGCCCTGGAGGAAGTCGTGAACTTAGTTCACAAGTTTGGTATCAGCTTAGCCCGAGCAAGACCAAGCTATTCACGAAGGAAGTCAAATGGTGCGGACGAATCCTCGGCGGCGATAAA